CAGTCCCCAGCCATCTACCTTTTCCCATCAACTTTGCAAAACTTCCATCTGCAGGTGCAGGCTAGGGATGCCCTAACTGAGGACACCAGAAAGGGTTTCTGATTTGCAATCTTGGTTCAGCTCCCTGAGGCATTCTTACCTAATGGGCATGTGTGGATGTTCCATTTACTAACTCAGATTCCTCCTTTTGGGTTGTTCAAGATTCCTGTTTTTTCTTCTTCTAGAGACCTTAGTGGAGAGCAAATGCACACAATAAATACAGAGTTAGGGAGGCAAAGGCTACATCAGGGAACACAGGTTTTTCCATGGGCCCATTGATTCTTTACAACTGGGGCTGATCTGGGAGTTGCTTCCCCCAGTTAGGGACAAATCCAGCTGGAGAACTCTTAGATGCCACCCTGGGGATACTCTAGAGACAACATGTCACAGAGTTCTGTGGACAAAGTAAGCTGATGCCTACTTATTTTCCTTAAACTGGCACCAACCCTGAGCACAGTGCTGCTGCCGCCCTATGTCTTAAGCATGGAGGAAGCATTTTCTTACCATCAAGGTAAACTAGTGGTGTGAATAACATGTACCATGGCCCTTCTCCACCTCCTTTCCATTCATACCTCTCACCTCCCTTCCTGCAACCACCATACTTCCCCCAGCCATGTTTCTCTGTTCCTTATAATAACTCGTGCCTCATACTCAAATTAGCTTCTTTATCTTGAAAACACACATTGACATTTCTCATCAGCAGGCTTAAAACAAATGATTTGCCTGCAGTAGGACTGAGGTACAACTGTACACTTTCCCAGGAGCTGAACGAGCAGACCCTTCAATTTAGGCTCAATAATGAGATACCTGAGCCACCTCTTCTCACAAGCGCAGCCTTGGAGGGCATCTTTCTGAACGTGAGCAGTCATCTTTGATCAAACCCTTAGGAGAAAATAGGTTGCCTCATCATCACAAACAATCCCGTGATGTAAGAGGTTTGGGGAAGTGCCAAGGGTATTCACTGGCTGTGTAAACTTGGGAGGATCACTTAACCTTTCTAAGACTGAGTTCTATATGTATAACATGGCAATAACACCATCTATCCATATAGTTGTCTTGAAGGTAAATGAAAGTATCTTCAAACTAGGAAGCACTGTCTTACTTTTAACCCAAGTTTCCTTGGCTGTCCTCTGTCTGCGCAGTGTCCAGCTTCTGAGTCTTCCCCAGCATTTCTCAAAGCCACTGGGGTGGGGTCTTGTGTGCACTTAAAAATGAGTCCACAGTTCCCAACGCCCTGCCCTGCCTAACCTGTGCCTCTCCCTGTGCTGGCATCCTGGCCAAGTCTCTCCTGTGGCTCCACCAGGACAGCCCTTGCTGGTGGCTGCCCTGACCCCTCAGGACCATAAAACCATGAAGAGCAGAGGAGAATTATGCTCTTGCCCCGTGGCTTCCCAAGGCAATGTAACTTGGTCCCCAGTGTGTGAATATAAACAGCTCTTTTCTTGTAGTAAGATACACATCACATACAACTTGCCACTTTATTTACCACTTTATTAAATCTTCTATTTTAACTATTAACTAAGTGTACGACTCAGTGACATTAAGTATATTTTCAATGCTGTCCAACCATTTCCACTGTCTAGTTTCAGAACTATTTCTTTACCTTAAAAGGAAACTCACACTCATTGGCAGCTCCTCCCCATCCCTTCCACCTTCAGAGCCTGGCATCCACTCCTCTGCCTTCTGTCTCTATGGATTCACTTATTCTGGACATTTCATATAAATGGAATGTGGCCAAGGCTGTCTGGCTTCTTTCGCTTAGTGTCATATTTTCAAGGTTACTCTTTTTGTTTTTCCTTGGTGTTTTCTTTCCTTAGGACCAGGTTGGCACTGCGGGGACTGGGATGAGGATGGGTTTGGATAAGCATTACCACAAGGCTTCTTTCCAGGATTCCTGGTTACTTTCAGTGATAAGCCCTGCTTCTTCCTTTCTCGTTAGCATGGGTTTTCTGCCCTCTGTAAACATAGCCGGGTGAGGCTACTCCAGCTCCCAGAAATACCCAGAGGTGCGTGAACAGCAGTGAGTAATGGCTGTGCTCCTTCCTAATAGGCTCTCACACCCAATCCACCAGTTTGCCAGTCATGCCCACATTTGCCTGAGCCTGAGAAGTCCAAGTAAATGCTGAAGTGGAGATACCGACTAGAGTGATTATAATAGTATGATCTTATATTTGGCATAAAGTAGGTTAGGATGTTGCTAGAAATCCTACTTCCTTTAGCATTTGAGCACCATTTGGCTTTCTGTACATTGCCAAGTATAGGACACTTTCGTATTTTTCCAGAATCTTCCACGGACTTGCTTTTCAAGTGCTTTTGACTTTCCTTGTGTAAATCCCATCCGACATAATTCTGATACCTCTGATGATGTGGCTCCATTTATGTGTAGGGGTTCACTGAGGAAACTTTTAACAAAAATTCAATATGAGAAATTGTTTACAATTTACAGCTAATATATAGAAACTGAACAAGTTGAGAAATGCAGGATTCTTGGCTACTCCTATGTCTTATTAAATTATTTATCTGGGAAGTTTCAAGACACCGGCTTTGCCGTAACTCTCTCTTCTCTCTAGGAAATTTGGTTTGATGACGTTTTGTTTTGTATTTCTTTTTCAAAATTTTAAATTTTTAAATTTTCATAATGTATTTCCGTGCATCCCTTTGCCTTTCATAGCTGCAGTTTCTGTAAATTTTACATTTAACATTGGCCTATGTCATGTATAGTAACAAGACAGAGAGGAAACCATCATAAAAGGGCATAAATACCAGGGAAGAAAGTAAAGTCTTTAACCTTCCCTGCTTAGGGTCAGAATTTTACCCCAACAAGCATCATTTTATCTGCAAACATTCTTTGTAGTTCAAATATTAATACATCCTTGAACCTTCCTAACTTTATTCATCTTATTTTCTCATTCTTCGATGTCCATATTTCACTACACTTAATGCAATGAGCCACTTCAAGGCACCATGTTTTCACATTTTTTAACTCTCATTTTCTTGTTAGTGTGCAGGTGGCTTTGGTGTTTTGTAGACCCAAGTTACATTCATATATACCCCTCCTGCTTTCCTTTGCATCTGGTACATACCTGAACATATTTTATTCTGTTATTTTTTGCTTGCAGATGTCAAATTAGTTTATGTAACTCAAAGACTTAGGTTTATGCCTTTCCAGTCAAGCTGCTGTTATGGAAAACAAATATCCAAGCAATATGAACTTACGGACATGGAGGAAGGGAGACATATTTGGGCCCAGGGCTCATTAGTAGGTTAGGGTCTGCTGCACCTACCCGTCTGCCAATATCTATCTGCCAATATTCCCAGACTTTCCTGTTTCTAAATGCTGATTTAGATAAATGCTTTTCTAACCAAAATGAAACAGTATGGTATTTAAGTCAACCATGGAAATAAGCATTGACATATGTGCCCCCACCTGAAAGACATCAGGTTAGGCTTGATTTGAATCAGGCAGGAGGCCAGAGGCAATCAGGTCCCTGAAGTCTGGAACTCCACCAGAAGGAGAGATCAGGCTCCACTGCCCCAGGATCCTCCAGACTGCAGAAGATCTGGGGGTGTCAGAATTGAGTGGGGCTCCCAGATCTTTGATAAAATGTGATTTTGTACAACAGAAGAAAGGGGGAAATGGCAAAAGCAGGCCTTTCTCTAAAAGGTCTAATAAACAGGATGATGCTGGGATACTTTCCAGGCCTCCCCCATGCCACCTCTATCTCTAAGATCACATCACAAGCCCCAGAGCACCCTGGCTCTACACGCAAGGCAGGCCACACACTGGACTGCTTGCACAGACCTAAAGTAGTTTAATGGCCCAGTGAGGACTTGCTATCCCAACTGGACCAAGTTGGAAGCCCTACGTTGTATGTGAGATCACAGAATTGGTATCTGATATCCCTGGGAATGGTCGCATCGTCATTTCATCAATACAGCTACACATTCGTTTAAGGCCTGTGGGTTTGACATTGATCCTTATATATTTATTTGTTCATGGACTTGTTAGAAAGCTTTTAGATTGAGATTTAGACAAAAAAGACAGTGAACTTGGTTTTTAGCCATAAATTTCTCTAGACCATTCTTAGGTCAAACTAACTAGCTTCCTGCTGCAGAAATTGTTCAGTGCTGCATGAGCATGTGAGAACAAATTTTGCATGCTCTGTGCTAAGACACCTTCTCCCACTACTCTACCTTTCTCATAACAAGATCCTAAAAGATGATTTCATTCCCTCAGTCCTTAGGTGCTGTCCTGTCCTTAGGTGCTGATGTCTAATCCCCACACTATTTGGTTCACAGTCGCCTGCTATCATCCTTCCAGTTTAGGGATTCTCTCTCTTTAATAAGTAGGCAAAAAAAAATCAGACTCATGCTTTTGACCCTGCAAAATGGAGAAGCATGTACTACTTTTGAATTAAAAAAAAAAAAAGTTAGAAATTTGACACTAAGACGTCTAAGCAACTGGGTGGAGGTCTGAAGTAGCAAGTGAAAATGATACCATTAATGATATTGATCATGGATGAAACAATTTGGTTTTTTGTTCTTAACTCCAGTCAAACACTTACCAAAACAACTAAACTGGTTGGACTTCAAAAATCTAAATGAAATCTTGAAAGCATGAGTGTATCTCCCATGCAGTATGGAAAGGAAGAGAAAGAGAAAGTAATTAAAAAACAATCTCCATTCCTACCACACACCTTTGGCTTGCATTGTTCACCACCTTTTAAAGTAATGCCTGATGTGTTATATGCTGGTCCTCCCAAAATACTAAACTTTCCCCAGAAGTGACCTTAGTTCTCCCAGTGCCTCACAACCCTCTTAAATACCAAAGAGCTTCAGGGGGCGGAGGACAACAATTTTCTAAAGGAAACCCTCCTCCACTTGCACTGGACAGGCTGTCAAGACCCAGCAAGACACTTTGTCATGTTATCTCACTCCACATTTGCTTTCTCTCCTTGTAGCTACCTCATCCCTGAACTCCCAGCTCCAGCAGCTCCAGCTCCAGCTCCAGCAGCAGCAGCAGCAGCCTCCCCCGTCAACCAACCAGCACCCGCAGCCAGCCCCGCAGGCGCCCTCGCAGTCCCAGCAGCAGCCGTCACAGCCCACCCCACCCCAGCAGCCACCACCCGCCTCTCAGCAGCCGCCAGCTCCTACATCTCAGCTGCAACAGGCACCTCAGCCCCAGCAGCACCAACCCCACTCCCACCCCCAGAACCAGAACCAACCATCTCCAACCCAGCAGAGTTCCAGCCCCCCGCAGAAACCCAGTCAGTCTCCAGGACATGGCCTGCCTTCACCGCTCACGCCACCCAATCCTCTACAGGTATGCTCCCCGTGCTTCCCATCCGCCCCCAGGAGCACCAAGGACCTTTCCATGGGGTGGTGCCATCCCCAAAGGCAGAGGGCCAGCAAAACTTAGCATCCAGTTCTGCAGCGTCTAATTCAAATTGATCTCTTAGACATAGGGAAGAAGAAGCAACTAGAAGGCAACTGGGGATGCATGTAAACGAAACAAATAGAAGCCCATTTCTGTTGCCCTCCAAAGGATAAATGTTATCTGTTTCCTTCTGTGAGAGGCCAGCACTATAAGTGCACTTGGAGCCTGTAATAATTCCATTTTATGATACTTTTTGAAGGCAGCAAAGATAGCATCCAATTAAAATTATTACTAGCACAGTTTTGTAGCCCCGTGGAGAACTGCATCTACTGTCCATGAGGCATGGTGGTTATTTCTCTATATTATGAATACAACAGTGTCTCACCTTAAGTACTTTGTGCTCTTTTGTTTCTATTTTTCTAAAGACTCTCTGGGGTTAGAAGGGCAAAGAAATTTAGCCCAGTCTTATGTCCCAGATTCCAACCATTACTCCACAGACTAACAAGTACTCTAAATTCATGCCAAGAGCCTCAACCAATATGCATCTTTATAAAGGAATAAAACTTCTATAGGCTTACTTTATTACTGTGAGGCTGAGGGCGTCATAAATAGATATTTCAGGCTAATCATAAGAGCTCATCTATAACCTACCTATTAAGAAGGAATGGTAGGTGCATTCGTAAATTTTATATATATATATATATATGACTTTAAACTTCAGAAAACCATTTTTAACTTAGGTGTCTTTAAATAAATTAGTTTCAAAACATAATGACTGTGATGTCATCATATCAGATCCAGAAATTAATAACTCAGCCAAGCCATCCATTCTTTGACTTGCACAATGACATTTTTCCCTGTGAGATTTCAGATGACTTCGTGTATTTGTAGTACTGTGACAAAGTCCAACAGAGTGAGCAGCCTGTGGACCTGTTTCAAATGCCATCTCATCCCCCTGCCATAGTGGTGGGCATGAACCTCAGTCAGTCCGGCTCTCCCCAGCTTTGTCTCTTTCAATTTGGATTCTCAGTGCTGGCCCGAAGCATTCCTAGAAATGAACACATTTCGGAGAGATGAGTCATTGTGGTTTTCTGGGCACTTGGGCCAGGGCTACTTTCAATTTGAACGTTTACATGAGTGGAGTTTCAAGATGTATTTGTACAAATCTTACGATGATGAGACGACATAACACCTTTGACACAAGACTAAAATGAACATGAGCCAAAAACTTCTTCGTTGTCCACTTGACAGCTACCGAGAGAGCAGATGTTATCAAATTTACCAAAAAAAGCATGATTACAGAAACCTTAATGTTGGCAGCATTTGGGATTCAACTTTATTATTCCAAAAAATGAATTTAATGCTTTTTAAGAACACTTACATTAGATGTACCTACATACCATCTAATTTCTCTATCCCAGGCACCAAAATAGGTAAAATTACCAAAGAAAAATATTGCCCTTCCTTGAGGAATGAAATTGCTTAGGTGTATCCCCAGTTGTCCTATATAGTCCAATATTCCTTCCTATTAGGTGAAAGTTTTGAGCTCTGTGGACCTCGGCCTTCCCTGAACACTGTCAGTGTTTTATAAATCTCTTACCAGCCCGTGAGATCCCAGTGAAGACAAGCCCTGTTGAATGACTGTTGACAGGACTTTAGATGAAGTGACCACTCAGCCTTAGGAAAATAAACTTAGGAGAATTTCCAAAAGTTCTCCTAACAGTTTCTCATGGAAATCCCAGGGCTGTTTTATTTTGTTTTGTTTTTACAACAAATGAAGGCTCAGAGCTACATTTCTTTCTTTGGAACACTAAGAGAATATTCTAATTTTTCATTGTTGAAGTTTTAATTTATAAACTTAATAAATATGTTTAGAGTACATTTAAATATAGAGGAACTGTTACTCTAACTTCTGTGGATCTAACAGATGACTGCCAAATGAGTGACCTGGTACAATTTTTTTTTTTTAACATTACTGAGCAGATACAGAACTAATTTTGAATAAATCTGTGTCGGTAGGCATAAAAGGACTTTTTTCCTTTACTACAGGCATGTATAAAGGAAATGGAGAATTTTTTGGTTTAAAAAAATTTTTACACTAGCTGCAGGCTTTTTGAGTTTGTGGAACATGGAATGTTTAAACTTTTTAAAAAGAAAACTGTTTAAAAGGAATTGCAAAGATATTTAACTGTCCAAAGTAATGATCTTTATAAAGTGTTTTTGTCTGAAGGGAATAAAGATCAACTAAATTCATACATGGTAGCCTAAATTTCATTTTACAATCTTTTGTTTTCATGTGGGCTTTATCTTTTTACATTATTCAAAAATCTGCTGGAGAGATATTAGTTTATAACTATGCAATGTAGATTACCAGGGAAAGCCAGTCAATTAGGTTTTTTGCTTTAAAAACAAAACTTTAGAAGACAACAATTATTTCTAAAACTGTGCGGATGCTCCCATATCTTTAGAAAAAAGTAAGTGTAAGTAGGTGGTGTGGTATATTTGGGTGAGGTCATTTTTTTTTTTATTTTTATACTTTAAGTTCTAGGGTACATGTGTACAACGTGCAGGTTTGTTACATATGTATACATGTGCCATGTTGGTGTGCTGTACCCATTAACTCGTCATTTACATTAGGTATATCTCCTAATGCTATCC